CCCCCCCCCCCCCCGCCCCGGAGTCCCTGTTTCCCGGCTCGCTTCCTTCTCCCCCTCTTCCTGCCCGCCTTCCGCTTGGCCCTGCTCCCCGGCAGGGGCACTCCCAGCCAGCCAATTGCCTGCCTCCCTCCCTCCTCGCAGCCAAGTCTCCTCTTTCAATTAACTCACAGCCCTCCTGGCCATGGCTGTGCTTTCTTAAAGGCGCAGGGTTCCGGCTGCAGGGCCTCTCTCTCTCTGCCTTCCCAGCCCCTAGGACAGAGCCCTTCAAAGGCACTGTGGCTAATGCTTAGCTTAGACCAAGAGCTGGGCAGGGCCCTTGTCTCTTCGGTTAGGCAGACAAGGTTCTTTGGGGAACAGCCTGACAAATTCTTCTTTGCCATCTTTCAGGTACACCCTTGCCAAGCATTTAAAAATTCTTCTTTGCAAAGTTTGTCTCCGAAGGCTTGCAAAGAATTTAACAATTCTCAAATAGCTGGAAAAATTCTTCCTTGCAAACTTTTGGGGACAAACTTGCAAAGAAGAATTTTTAAAAAGTCTTTGCAAGGCTGTACCTGAAAGCTGGCAAAGAAGAATTCTTTTTCCAGCTATTTAAGAATTTTTAAATTCTTCTTCACAAGTTTGGCCCTGAAGTCTTGCAAAGAAGAAGTTTTCCAGCCCTTTGAGTTAGTCTGAAAAAAGATACTGGATTTCCCCAAAGAACCTTGTCTGCCTATGTCCTTAGACCAATACAGCTACAGCCTATACCCCTGATATCTTTTATTAAACCAAATGAAATAGCTGGGAAAATTGTTCTTTGCACGCTTTCAGGCCCTTCTCCAGGCATTCTTCTTCTCCCTCTGCCTGAAAAATAATGTTTGTGCCCAAATGCTTTCAAAAGAACAATTTTTCCAACTATTTAGTTAAACTGATAGTTTCTATTAGGCTATCCAAAGAACCTTGTCTGTCTGTGTCCGCAGACCAGCGTTTCTCAGCCCATGGGTCATGACCCAAAAGTGGGTTGCATGAAAATATGGAAGGGTCACGAACAAATTTTTAAAACGGGTTCTCTTTTAAAAGAGAGAAACGTGGGAAACTGCAGGCTACAAGGGGCTGCTTGCCCCCCCCCCAAAGGGGTACAACCGCAG